GAACCTGGAAGCACCATCGCCATCGAAAAAGATCTGGAACACCGCCATTGAGCGACGAAGATGAAGATGAGGCACAGAAGGCAGCAGTTGCTGGGTGGTGAAGGAGTTGGGGAAGACGAACGGGAGGCCGGCAGAGGGACTTGTGGTTCATTGGAGAGTGGAGCGTCGTTGTTTTCTAGGGGTGGGGGAGGATTTCATBGTTGGGAAGAGTTGGGTTTTTAARGGTGTGAAGAGGGGGTTGGTGGAGGTTGCAGGCGCGAGGAAGATGGAGAAGTTGGTGGTGGCAGCTCTTTTGGGTTGGGTTTTTGTTATTTAAATATTTTATTTTTCAGAAATATTATTTGGCTTAAAAAATGAACAACAATATACTAAACAGCCCATAGTTAATACTCAGGGGTAAATTGGTCATTTTTGTTATTCAGACTGTTGATTCAGATAGAAAAGTAAACAGCAACCCAAATTTATCCAGACAGCTAAATTTATCCAGACAGACAAATTTATCCATACAGGACTTAATAGAAAATTTGATAAACAGCCCCTAAGACTTTTATTAAATTTGCTTAATAAGATAGTATAAATAATAGGTTCATTTACTCGTAAACCCAAATTTTCATTTTCATTCCCCTTATGAACCAAACGGGCTCCTAAGTGATGGTGATGTAATAGATGGAAGTTTGACATCGTATTTCCAGTCGTTAGACAAGCTACAATCTCTTTTTAAAACAGAGAGATGTTCCTAACGAAGCCACCTTCGGACAAACGATGACGGAATAATTGTTGCTTCGAAAGTAACTTGTTTGGCTAATACTTGGTCATACATAACAAAGGAATAAATGCGAATGTTTGGCTAAAAACCGTCACCGGTTGAATGTGACTTACAAGCAACCAGCTTAGATTGAACAATTTTCATTTTCATTTGTTCCAATAAGTTCATTCTTAATTTATTAATAATCATTTTATTTATAAACACATTAATTATAACTATTATTTTTATGGTTAACAAAAAGAGTGAATTATACGTTAGTGGTTATCGTGATTTGCTCGATTTTTGGATTTATTTTTTAAAACAAACCATCTATATTGGTGGTCTTTAATTTTTCATTTTTATAACATTTGGGGTTTCTTCACTTAACGATGTTAGTTAGCAACCGTTATGAATGACTAATTGGTCTTTAAACAAACTATAAGGACCAAAAGTTAAACTACTCTAAAATTTAATATGATTCACAGTTTTTTAGTTTTTATTAGAAAATATTTTATAGAGTTAAATGCATGAAATAACAACTTGCTTTCATAAATTTTCTTATCATAACATTCTATTTTTTTTTGTTACAGCAATGTACTTTCAAATTATTTTTTATTAAGGCATCGTACTTTAAAAAATCTACTCATAATAGAAATGGGAACCTGTTATCTTTTAAACCGGTTAACCCCTTGACTTTTTTTGCTTGTGTGGCTTTAATGAGATGATGTGGATGACATCATTTTGATGACCCAACTAAAATAAAAATAAAAACTTAATTCTAATTCATATTAGTGATTTTTATTTTTCATTGCTATGATCTAGAAAAACATTTATTTTATTTTATTTTTGATTTTTTCTTATTAAGTTACATACAAATTAAATATTATAGAGTAAAATATTTCTTAAATAAATATGCTACATTATTTTCGAGATATATTTTATTTGTAAAAAAAATAACACTTCTTATTTTATGTTGCTCAAATAAATAAATATATTTTAAAGTTCTCTTTAAAATGTTAACGAAATAAATTGTGATATATAATTTTTTAATATTGTTATATTAATAAATAATTCAAAAAAATCTAATTAATTTAATATATTTATACATCAAACAAAACTTTTTGAACAAATATAATATATTCTTTAAAAGATAATATTTTTTGGTAAAATATGAACAATTCTTATTTTCCTATTTTCAGTAAACACATATTTTTTTTAAAAATATTAGTGAGATAAGTTGTGTTCTACTAGTTTTATTGATAATGGTATATTAATAAATAATTTAAATTTTTTTTAATTCATTTAATATATTTATTAAATAACATGTAAAATATCTAAATATTAAAATTAAAAATACAATGTAAAAGAAGAAGTAGTAGATATATAATAAAATAATTTTGAAAGTACAATGATATAGTAACAAAGTCACAACACTATAGTACATGCGGACAGCCTACGTGGACAATAAGGTGGCATAAAAACTTGGTATGATGGGTAAATTTATATCAAAAGGTTACCCAGTGCTACAATGGATAAATTTTTCAAAGTACAGTGTCCTAATCAAAATAGTTTGAAAGTACATTGCTTTAATAAGAAAAATTGGAAGTACAATGTTATAATAAAGAAATTTATAAAAGTAGATTGTTATTTTTTTGCATTTTGCCCTATTTTATATTACTATCACAAACCAAAAATCTTAAAATAAAATACATATTAAAAAAAATATTTATATTTATTTGTTATAGTGATGGTTTTTATTAACTGTTTGAATAATCGATGTTTTTTAATCTTAATTTATAATTTTTATTTTGTTGTTATTTTAATTATTTGCAATTTGACACTATATTAATGATCTCATGTTAACCGAACTTAATTTTCAACGCTATCTTTTTTGTGAATTTAATATGTTTTAAACGAATATAAAGATTTTTATTAGTATGTATTTTATTTTAACAATTTTAATTTGTGATTTTAATAATAAAATATTTTTTAATAAAAAATAAAAAAAACGTGTATCAGATTTAACTTTTGGTCCTATAGTTTGTTCAAAAACCGATTGGTCCTTCATAAAGATGCCAATTAACGCCGTTAAGTGGGGGGGACCATAAGTGTTATGAAAATAAAGTGTTAGGGACCACCAACGTAGATGGTTTGTTTTAAGAACCAAATTCGAAATTTGAATAGACCACATAAGTCATCGGTGTAATTCACTCTTATAAAAATATATGGATTTAGCGATGTCAATGTCGGTTAGCAAATTGCAATTTATTTTATATTTGTTTCATAATTATTCAGACAAAACAAAATTATTTATAACGCACGTTTTTTTTTTACTCAAGGCCTCTACAATATCACGGTTGTCCAGCCACCATGCGATGTAACCGTCCCCTGAATTTCTCAAAGGAATTCAAATGTATGTTTAAAACTGATCACCACTCCTTTTTACGCGTTATGTCAATTGTAATCGTCCCATGTGTAATCAAACGGTTCATATCGAGAAGGAATTTATTTTTTGTTGCAATGGCAAAATAGATTCGAACCTACTACCAATCGGTTAACAGCCGACCGTTCTACCACTGAGTTACTGAGGAACAACAGGAGATTGTAAAACTTTGATGAACAGAAGTTAAAGAGGGTAATGTACTTTAACTTGATTTATATTATGGGTAATGTACTTTCAAGACTTTCATCTTGGTACTTAAGATGTAAAGTTTTAAACATCTAAGTACTCAGATAACCTCCACAACTTCGACACTTTTCAAACTCCAAAATGAAGCTACAAGACTGCAACTACTTTGACAAAACTTTACCTCTTCGACAAGTAAATATCTGGTGGCTCCACCAATCAACGTGGGAGATTGTCTCTATAACTAAATATCGTTGGCTTCTTCACTGTGTATGTAAAAATGAACCAACTTTGAGAAAGCAACGGTGTCACGATGACAGTGAAAGGACGTCAGTTAGAGAGGAGAAGCAATAGGAATGGAGGGGAGAAGAGAACAGAGTGGACGTTTTGGTTTCATATTACTTTTTTTTATTTGTTTTTTAATTGATGATGTGACTATCGATTTATTATCTTTATAATTAATAATTCTGTTACTGTAGGGTTGTCAGTAATCAACTTTTTACCCAAATTTAATAATTATGTTACTTCGTATAAAAGTAACCGTTTACTTACTGAAGAAGTTTAACATGACCTTTAAATATATGTAAAGTTTAGTTCAGACCTTAAATTGACATCTTTTTTTTAAGATGGTTCCCAAATTAAAAATTAGAAGAAAGTTGATTTTTTTTTTGACGTAATTTTTCCAAAATCATACATCTATATGTTTATATCAGAAAATATATGTAAAAGAAACCAACGTTTCCAAAAATTTGTATATATTTTTCATGATATTATGCATGGATCAGATATATTATGGCGAAATTATTAAAAAGAATTATTAAAACATAATATTTTATTAGAAAAAAGAAAATATTTATAAAAAAGTAGTTTTCTATACTATATTTATAAAAAGTGGTTATATGTACTATATTATTGATATTTATTACTTAAAATTTATAATTACAAGTAAATTATGTGTAAATACAACTTATTAAAGCTATATTTTTAAATTCGTATAACTAATCGCAGATAAACATAATAAGATATAGGATAAATATCTCATTTTAAATATAAAAAGTTTAAAATATAATTAAGATAATCATTGATTTATAATAGAATCATTTTTTCTAAAATTATATTGTTAAGTCAAAAATAAATTACTTCGTTATTAGACCTACTTTTAATTATAATAGAAAATGAATTAAAGAAATTATACAAAAAAACGAGAGTTTTTAAATAATTAATTTGATATTAATATCGATATATTTTCAAATTTTTATGATATATTCAAATTCATTTTTATTCAAAAGTAAAACATTATCTTTATCAAAACCATATAAATCGTATTATATATTAACAGAGACAAAATAAAATAAAACATTAAAATAAACATGTATATTGTTACATTGTGCGAGTATTTTTTAAAAAAAAAAAATATTTATAAAAAGTGGCATTTATTTTTCTTAAAATCCAGAATCTCTTGGGTACAAGGGAAGGAGAAAACGTGACCGTACAAGTAAAGAAAGCGAATTGCGCCGTCAAATATACATCGCCACTCCTGCTTTCTTTATAAACGCAACTGACCGTTATTTCGTTAAATAAATATTCCAACTTCCATACCATACATGTTATGCACTTCAATCATCAGCAAACCCATTCTCCCTTCTAAACCCTAACCCTACTTTCACGATTGCTTCAATTTCATTTCTTTAAGCTCAAGAAACCAATACCATTCATGTTGCACCAATTTCTTGGTTTTCATTCACAAAAACCCTAAGTTTTACCCACCAATTTCAAATGAATATGGAAGCGAAGACCAAGAAAAGAAGCTTGCTTGTTGGAGACACCATTTATGAAGACAATCAGAAGAGAAGCAAGCAAGAAGATGTGAAGGTTGGTTATGGCGATGGAGTTTCTTGGTTCAGAGGTGCAATAATCGGTAAAGGAAGTTTCGGTTGTGTTTTTCTTGGCAATTTGAAGAACCCCAAATCCAAATACAACTCTTACCCGCCGATTATGGCCGTGAAATCGGCAGAAGTCTCTGTTTCTGGTTCAATTCAAAAGGAGAAAGAGGTTATGGATAATATCCGTGGGTGTTGTAATGTGATCAAGTGTTTTGGTGAAGAGATTACCAATGGAGAGAATGGTCAGATGGTTTACAACTTGTTGTTGGAGTATGGCTCTGGTGGAACCCTAGCTGATCTGATCAAGAAATCCTCCGGTAAAGGGTTGCCAGAACTCGATGTCAGATGCTACGCTAGGTCCATCCTTCGAGGGTTACGTCACATTCACAAGCAAGGGTATGTTCATTGCGATCTGAAACCAGATAATGTATTGCTTGTGTCTAATTCTAGAGATGGTTGTTTTAATGCCAAAATTGGGGATTTCGGATTGGCGAAAAGGGCAAATCAGAAGAAGAACAAGTTGGGTCTTAATTGGAGAGGTACCCCTATGTATTTATCCCCAGAAGCTGTAAATTATGGTGTTCAAGAGCCTCCTGCTGATATTTGGGCAGTCGGGTGTATCGTGTCAGAGATGTTGACCGGAAAACCTCTTTGGTTTTCGGAACAAGATTTGTGCATGGACGAGATTTTAAGTCGAATTGGCGAAGAAGACGAATCACCGTGTATTTCTAGCAATATATCAACAGAGGGCAGGAGTTTCTTGAAGGGTTGTTTGTCTAAAAAGATTATGTGTAGATTAACTGCTAATATGCTATTAGATCATCCTTTCTTAAAAGGGTTAGTTGAAGATGATGCCAGTGAGGTTAAAGATTCACACCAAGAAGTTTTGGACATAAACACCATCACCTCATCACCAGTGTTCTCAGATGATGATGATGATGATGATGATGAGATGTGGTTGTCTTCATATTCAGATGGGTCATGCTATTCATGGTCAGAAGGAGATGTGGATTCCATGGAGAATCAAGAAAGCACAGATGCAAGATTCAATGTGTTACAACAATATCCAGTAACATTAACCATTTCCAAGGGAGTTTAGCAAGATTGATGGTGAGAATCCACATTTAGTAGAGTAGTTATCATTCTTTATACATGTTTATAGTCATATTATGGTAAATACAATAAATATATATATATATATATAATATATATATAGGACTTTGATACATAGATACATTCTTGTAGATGACATCCTTATTGGAATTTAATCAATTATTTGGTGGGATTTGGATTTGGATTTGGAATTGGATTCCATTCCAATCCCATATTCGGTTTAGCTGGTTTAGCTGGAAAGATCAATAATTAAGTTTACGTTCATTGTTATGTTTTCGTCATACTTTCTTTAATGCAGAATCGGTTTTATAGCGATATTGACGTTAAATGGTTAATCGAATGATGAACAAATGTCCTCCAAAAATGGCACAAGAATCTCTCTTTTCTGATCTTGAAACCGTCTTAATCTTTGACTTTTGTATGTGTATATGTATTAACCACACATCATCATCATCGACCATCCACAAGAAACGATCGTCGGCATTGCTGTCACTCTGATGCATTTCAAGGTCTATCTGTTACTATACACCCATCTTTTCGTCATTAGTTGTTCTGATGCCTTTAATATCACAACTATCCTCAGCCAACACCCATCTTTCAGTACCTTCAATCACTATATCTCTCAAACCCAACTTACTGCAGAGATCAATTCGCGCCGAATTATTACAGTTTTTGCTGTTCCTAACGATGTTGTTTCGTCTTTATCTGGAAAACCGCATGATGTGCTTAAAAACCTCTTGAGGGTTCATGTTGTTCTTGGTTATTATGATGTCGAAAAGCTTCGTAATTTGCCAAACGGAACTGTTCAAATGACGACGTTGTTCCAGATCACTGGTCGAGCTGTTGAGCAACAGGGTTTCTTGAAAGCTACGGTTTTGAAAACCGGAAATGTGGTCATTCGCTCGGCTACTCAAACCTGGGGGGCTATTTTGCTCAAGTCGGTTGCGGTTGAGCCTTGTCACATTTCGGTAGTTTCTATTAGCACCGTCATCGTCCCTATGGGGATGGATTGTGGGGTTTTAGTTTCGGATTCAAATTCGACTTCTCCGGTGGAACCACCTGCCCCCCACTCTGCTGCACGTAGCCCAAAAATGCCCCTGGTCCCCGCCCCTGGGCCTTCCAATAGCCCGAAAATGGTTCCACCATGGGCTAGCACTCCAAAAGCGGTCCCATCAATGGCTCCTAAGCCACTGGCATCTCATGAAGGATCTCCATCACCTTCTGCAAATGCACCCGGAGAATCATCACTGGCAGGTGCACCGACGGCGGCAGCCTCAGAATCTCTAGCAAATGCACCGGGGGCATCTAGAGAATCACCCCCCAAGCGTATAGATACACCAACAGGATCACCACCAGCGCCACTCGCCCGACTACCACCTACGCCTTCAGACAGTGGTGGATCTAAAACCTCCGATGACCGGGGGCACACATCGGATGATGGGGGCAAGACGGTTGGCAGCAGCGGTTCCAACCTTAGGATTGTCCTTTGTGTTGTTACAACTCATGTAATACTATCGTCCATCCATTTCATTGTCAATGCATAATAAAAATATCTTTCCTTTATGGTCTTCTTCTGTAACGTCTAAACACAAAGTAGTAAACTGACCTAATAACTCTTAAATGAAATTAAAATTATGGTAAAAGTTATTGATAACCCAGAACTTTAAGCTTATAAGTTAAATGCACCCTTATATACTTAAATATATCTGTATCTACTAATTTTTTTATAAATAAATCTATCTTTTTTCCATTATCAATGCATAATTCTAATATAAAATAGATGCATATAGCATTCCCTCACTTACTATATATGTGGGTGGTACTACATATAGTTAACAGTTATAGAGTTCGATTTTATATGAACCTAAATTTCGTATGTTACACAAACCACCCTTATTTTATGATAATTATATATTTCAGTCCCTGTATTTGGTAAGTTTCATTGACTAGCTTTCTAGCCATCACTACTAACACATAAAATTGATGCTTTTATCGCACACTTTTCATTCTCTTTATCGGTCATTAGGGATTATTGTGATGATAAAACATAATGAGTCTGACGTTAGATTTCTTTACTTTCGAGAGTTTCTGTTTTGAAACTAAAATATGAGTTGAGTACTTGTTTCCTACTTGAGTCTTTGTCCACCCTTTCTCGAAACAGATCCATGCCTTTTGAGACTTTGCCCGCCCTTATGAGAAGAAGTCAAGAAGATAGGAGGGAGGGAATCAATCGTACTTTCACTACTGTGGACCGGCTTTCATAAAGCACCTTTGGGCAGTAGCTACTATTGGGATCCAATTCCGAGATCAATTCGACAATGAAACTCTTTAAGCAATGCCGAATTCTACTTAAAAAATGTACAGGTCTAATGTTGGGCAGGTTCTTGCTCGGGATAAATCGCTTCACTTTGAGTGGGCTTGGCCCACAAGCCTGATTCTCCGGGCACTACGATAGGACGTGGATCGACCATGAAATTCCCCAGTTGGAAAGATGAGAGTCCCATTCATGTCTCGATAAGGTAGAAAGGGCTTCTTGATAGTCTTCGCCTTCTATTCCGGTCAATGAGCCGATATTGTGAGGGCCCTCCAACATGATTGAGATCGTGTAGATTAATGTATATGGATCGTAATGATTAATACGATAAAAGAAAATGTTTTATGAACTGTTCTATTCAAATATAAAGTTCGATTTCATTAGTTGGAGATTGGTTAATGCGAAGTTACATCACCAAACTTATGTTATCATCAATACACTTGTAACTAAGATTAGTTGATAAGCGTTCACCCGTAAAAGTCGCTACCACATTTATTTTATCGGATAATATTCTCAGCCATCAAAATAGATTGTTAGTATACGCCTTTTACCCAATAAGCGTTTATTGGGTAAGACCGTAAGGGTCTTTCTTTTTCACTTACCAGATAAGATTCTCGGTATTCGCTATGTCTTTTGTCAGGTAAAATTCTCGGGGTTTGTCATGCTCTTCTGGTAAGATGGTACCCAATAAACGTTTACCCGTTAAGAGTTTGGTAAAACGGCTCAGGACGTGAAACGATTGAAATGGACCATATATGAGAATCTCCTACAATATGTATCAAACAATTGGGGGGGGTATTTTGCATAATTTTAAAAACGAAGGGGCTATTTGTAACACACATTAATCTTGGTACACAGACTGAAAAACGTAAGTAGAGAGAGAAAGAGAAGATAGAGTGTGAATAGGAGGAGAGCGATCATGGAGAGAGAGAGAGAGATGGCTCCTTTCGGCTCTGAATCAAAGAGATGCAGATAGAAAATTCAGGCGAAGAACATTAATGCAGCGCAGCAATTTCCAGAGAGGATAAACTGACATTTTGAAACAACAAATGAAAGCTATTGTTGTTGTTATTAGCTTGGGATCCTACGAACAAAGAGATTGACGATGACTGTGAAATTAAACACTTTGGTAAACAGGATTTCAATTTCGGGAGTGCTGCAATAAGGTCAGACTTAGGAATTTATGTTTATTGTTAAAGTTGATTTGAAACATGAATCTCTTCAGTCCTTCGTCTTTTTGATTACGAATTCTGCATCAAAAGAACTGAAGTTGTCAAAGTTCAATTTTTTGATTCAGTTCTTAGGTTTTTTGAAGTTATGTTTCGGGTATTTGAAATGGGAGCATGTTTAGTCTAATTACTGATGATTTGCGAATTCAGTTGGAGTTGGAGGGAGATACTTTTCAAAAATTAAGGGTTTTTATATGGTTTAGATGTGATTTGGGATTAGGGTTTGTGTATTTGTAGATTAGAATTTGAATAATTTGGGAATTTGGTTTTGGAGGGAGAGTTAGTTGGAAGTTTAACATGTGATTTGATTTCTTGATCCGTACTGAAAACCTAATTAGGGGTTTCGTCATGTGGATTGCTGTTGAATGATCGGATTTCATTCTGGAAGATGGGTTTTTGTAGATGGATCAAAACCCTAATTTTGTTGGATGATTTAGGGGTTTGATGTTTTTTAGTTAAGAAAGAAGTTGATAATGTTGTGGGTGTTTTAGGAATGTTTTGTGTTAAGAAATGCAACCACCACAGAAGCATTCATGGATCAATCTTGCTGAACTGAAAGATCAGTTAACCAGAAAGCTTGGATCAGAGAGATCGAACCAGTATTTCGATTACTTAAAAAGGTTTTTGAGTTTAAAGCTGAATAAGATTGAGTTCAATAAGCTCTGTTTAAGAACTCTTGGCAGAGAAAACATCTCGTTGCATAATCAGTTAATTCGTTCAATTCTAAAGAACGTCTGTATTAGAAAAGTCCAACCATTAAGACACGATGATCATTCAACAACAGTTGGAAATAACAAGTTCTCCGATGAAGTTTACCACGAAAATGGATACGTTCCAGTTGTAACTCAGGCTTCAACTCCCCTTCCACCTTCTTCCCAAAAGGTTGCTGTAAATACCAAGTATTCGACTGAATCTTTAGGTAGAAACAGCGGGAAAGAGGTGTTCGCCAGGACTTCACTACACGCTCCACTCGGGATTCCACATCTGGTCCGCAAGGCATCATCTTTGGGACGTAATAGTAAATTTCTTGGTATTTTGGATATCAATGGATTGAGGGGCCGTATGGAGCAGCTTGCAGCAACACAAGGCCTTGAAGGAGTGTCGATTGATTGTGCCAGTGTGCTTAACAACGGATTGGATGCTTATTTGAAGGGGTTGATACGATCTTTTGCTGAACTTAGCGGGGCAAGGAAGAATATTTCCATCGAGCCCCACGCTCATTTGAGGCCCTGCAACGGTCTTAGACCTCGTCATCACTATCAATTAGAAACTAGAAATTGGTCTTCGGAGACGATGCAAGAAAAAGAAGGCAACCGCCCAATATCTTTGGTAGATTTTACGGTTGCCATGGAACTCGACCCTCGGCAGCTCGGGGAACATTGGCCCATACTACTTGAGAAGATATGTACACATGCTTTTTAGGAATAAAAAGTTGTCCATTGTAACGAACACCACATTTGTCAGCAACAAATACTGGGTTCGTTTGGTTTGGTTTCAACATAACGGAATTGAAGACGAATCCTCATCTTTGGTTGCTTTGTTGTATGATTAGCATGTATTTCTCAATATTCTTCTGTTTTCTTTGTAATCGAGTCGATGAGTTTATATAGAACAGTTTTGCAAAGATGGTTCTGTGAATTGTGCAGCTGAATGCTTTAGTGAAAAGTTGAAATTGCATGTCTGCAGCTTAACTTAGGTGCTGTTTGGTTTTAGAGAGGTGCTGATCTTTTAAGTCTTATTTCACTTCTGATTGATAAGAGGTGATGCTAAAGTCACAGCAGAACGGAGAAAGTTGGCTTGTTATGTTGATTAATTAGTTGATGGAATGGAATGTGGATCAGCATTCGGTAGCCACCAAGATCTTCCAAAATGGTTTCGGCTTGCGCTTTGCAGGGTTCGACGTCGCCCCCGATTCCGTTCTTCTAAGAATCTCCCACATGACTTGGATATCCTCGTACCCACATGTCTGTATATCGTCATGTAGCTTCAATAGCCCACCACCTGCGAGAAACAAACATAAATCTTTGTAAGTAGTCTGTTAAAGACATCTCTTTTAGTTTTGAACTTTTTGCACTTTGATAATATAAATGAACTACAGATGTATCAAGTTTGCGATTGATGAACCTCCAGAAACCCAAAAAAGCATAAATCCCATTAGATCGCTGACTGAAGGGGGTATTTAGGGGCCGTTTATCTAAATACTTACCCGATAAGCGCTTATCGTTAAGAGTTAACACTATAATATATTTTATTGGGTAAGATTGTGGTACATCAAAACATATTTTATGCAACAATTTACCTGGTAAACGCTTACCCGGGTAAGAGTCGTCGCGTTCACTTACTTGGTAAGACTCTTCATTCTTATCATCGCTCTTACCGGGTAAGATTCTTGCCCCTTATCATGTTCATCCGGTAAGGAAAATTGCCCGATAAGTACTTACTGGGTAAGCATTTTGTAAACGGCCTCTTAGCCAATTGTTTTTTAAATCCATGATTTTTTTAACAGATTTATAGGAATTCTTCTGTATAAAAGCGGGTATTCTTCGAGTAAGCAATGATATTTTTAAACATGTCAGAATGTCATGAATTAAAAGAAAATGACCTTCAAGAAGGTCATTTAGATTATGTTTGTTAGCAGCTTAATGAGCTTAATAGAACTCACAACTTATTCGATCAACTATTTGATAGTGGCTTAATGATATAGAAAGTGACTTATTCAATAAGTTTTACCAAGTATCTTCTAAACATGCTCCTCCTAATTAAAGAACATGATCATTTTATCTATTAAAAAATCATCCAAAACAAAAATCTTTCCAATCTATATAAATAAACTAATCCATCCAAACGAATATATACATTTATATAAGACTTAACGAAAAATACAGCTATAGTCATAGTTCCGTAATTGAATTTGGATGTTAGAAGTGTGGTTACATGAGTGGAATCCTTGACGGGCATCTTGTTTTGAGATATTTTAGAAGGGAGAACATTATAATCATATAATAATATTTTTCCTTTCTGAAAACATGTTACAATAATAAAATGAATTTTATTTGTTTATCGAGTTAAATAAATATATGATTCAATAAATATCTCGATTGTTTTTTAATATAAGTATTTGATCATAATAAATGAATTATAATAATTTTTTATTAATATCCAAATTATAATAATCATTATTTATATAAATATCTCAATTAATTGATTTGTATAGTTTATACTAATGGTTAAGTTTGTAACTGAAACCACTTATATATATGTGTGTGTAGGTAGGTGTAAGTGTTCATTCAAGGGAAAACTGATTAGTTTATGATAACCATGAGATCCACTCTGAAGCATTTGTTTGAGATATTTAAGAATATTTCTTAAATAAGCTAAAAAGGTAATATGGTATTTCTATTTTTGACGATTAATCAAAATATTTAATTAAATTTTTTTAGAAATAAATATTTAATTAAAATTAGTTACCTCAAATATCAATTACGTAATATAGATCGTATTTTAAAGACATTTTTGAATTAACGTGTATCATAGTGATAACGTTCAAAATGTTTCATGTGCACCCCAATTTATTTTCTTTGTTTTATATTTTCGTTATTTTCATTGTTTTACAAAGGATATCACATCATGCATCTTGTATGTATATCTGAGTATCATAGTGAACATCGTTTATAGGTATTATAGTGTGTATCTTATGTTCACGTAAGGTTCATTGGAATAAGGTTCGCCGAATAAAATACGTCGGAGACAGGAAAGAGGAGAGATGAGAGATGATATTTATAAAATCCCTAAAATGTTCTAAATTAATATTTTAAGTTAAAATTAACAAAGTTATTAATTTCATAATTTAACTTTTAATTTATGATTAAAATTAAATTATACGATTACCACAAACAAAACAGTTCTTATTTTATTAGACCATGTGACTGTGTTTATACACGGAAAAAAGAAATGACTGACCGTTATGAGTGGATTTAACACGAGCACCAACAGCAAGCCAAACTCGTCTCATCGGAAGAACCATATTCTGCCACCAGTTCATCACCTGCGATTTCTGACTTCAATCGACCCTTAACCTATACACCCTTATGATCCTCACCCTCACTGTCGTCTATATATATATATACATATATATATATATATATATGTGTGTATATATATATATATATGTGTGTGTGTATATATATAGAGAGAGAGGAGAGTATGGGTGAAAAGAATGATTTTATAGAAGGAAAGTTTCCGTTTATGTACAAACCAAATAGCACAACGTACATCTAACGATACGTGATTAATTTGTGGCCGCTGATTTTGCTTTATTACTTGTATAAAATTACATGTGGGTCCTCCAATTCTGATACTATTACTGATATTTGTTTCCTAATTGTTACCAGAAAAACCTTCAACTTCTTTCACTTTACCTTTTCAGTCCCTTCACTTCACCAACGCATCATATTTGATCCAATTTAGTATAACCGTTACAAATAATATACGAATAATAAAGAAAAGTAAAGAGCAAGGACGAATGGGCTTTCTCGACCTCCATGGCTTCAATTTAGCAATGTTGTTAAACAAGGTTAGAAGCTTCGTACCAACCCGAATGCCTTAGTATCAAGAATCTTCAAAGCTAAATACTTCTCTAAAGGAGATTTTATGCAATCAAAACTTGATTGAACCCGAGTTTCATTTGAAGACACATGTGGGTTTCCTTAGCAGTGACAAATTGCGGTTATCGATGGCAATTGGGCGATGGTGGAAGTATAAAGATTTGGACTGAACCACGGGTAAGGGGAGGAAAAACATTCAGAGTTAAGACTATAATAACCGATGTGTATGAAAGTCTAACTATGTTAGCCAAGGAAACAATTGATGGGATATGAGGCTTTTACGGGAGGTGTTCCAACCAAGTGTGTGGCAACCATAACAGAGATGTCGGTAAGTATTTCAGTTAAACTGAATGCAAATGGGCATATTACACATATTCGACTAACTCATAATGGATTGGATGACTAGAGAAACAAATCACCGATGTGATAATCGGGTATTTGGTTATAAAGCTCGAGATTGTTTTTGAAAATATGGGTAATTTGAGGGATTAAATGTGTTTAGTTGCTTAAATAATAATAATAATAATAATAATAAAAAGGCAATCCCACCACCGCCTTACTCTTATTTTTAATATAATGAGATAATTTCATTTATCTCTCATTAGGTTGATATGTGATTTTAAAAGGAAAGTTGGTGAAAAAGTTTTTCTCATTCAAAGAAAATCGGAGGAAAGAACTCAACTAATTATGTGATTTCTACATGGAAGATTAGTGCCATCCATCTCTTTGTGATTAAGGTGAGTTTAATTTGTATAAACTTTCTTTATTTGGAAACTGGGTTTAGAACCGCATGGTTCTTTATATGAAATTGTTGTTAAAATTGTTTTGATGTCAGAATTTGGCAAATACTATGGGGGTATTGTTATGTTTACATCAAGTGTGGAAATAAGGGTGACATATCAATGAGAGGTGTATTTTGGGTTACAAGGGTGATATATCAATGAGAGTTGTATACTGGATAAGGGTGACATATCAATGAGGGATGTATACCAGGATAAATGTGACATAATCATCGAATTAATAAAAACTGAGTTTTGATCAAGCGTTCAAAATTATCGCATCCATATGATGCGACAAACTCTATGTGATGCGATGAAGTGTGGTTATCGCATTCCAATGATGCGAGAAGTATGTTTTATCGCATCCTTAAGATGCGACAAATTGGTTTATCACATCTTGATGATGAGACAAGATTGGATTTATAGTGTTAATGTGATGCAATAAATTGTGAACCTCGCACCAGTATGTTGCGAGGAATAATGGGATTGTCTTATGTTATCATACGAGGACTTATATGATGCGACAAGTTGGTTAAAAATGTGTTTATTAAATAATTTGATTATTTTGATGTGATAAATGAGATTTGTTATATCAAATAAATGTATATTTGTTATTTCACAAATATGAGTTAAAAATGTGATTTAGAAATAATTATAATTATCCATTGCATTATATATGAATTAGATATAAATAATATAGCGATTACAGCTAATAATTTATATTAGTTACAATATATGATGGGGGTTGATATTGCCACCCACCCCTGGCAACACTTTCTACCCCTCCTGCAATATGTCCCCCTCCTCACAATCCTTTCTCACACTCGCACCATCTTCCTACTCATACACTCACACGATTTTAATTTTAAAAATTTAAATTTACACTTTATACCCTTATAATTAGTTAATTAATTTACTTTATACCGTTTCCTTTTAAAAATTTTATTTTATACCCTGATCAAATTAACATACATAATTGTATATCAATTAAAATATGTTTAAAAAATACGTTTTAATTTTAACAAGTTACACCRTTATAATCGTCACGTCAATACCTTCGAAATAAGCCCAATATTGAATATTATTTGACTTAATTATATTATTATATATATTATATACTATGAAAAAATATTTTTAATATTTACATTTATAGTTATTTATTTAATTTATGATATGCCATTTGTTTTTTCAATTTTTGTTTTACATCATTATCACATTAAAATACATAATTTTATATTAACTAAAATACGTTTTAACATGTCACGTTAAATTATATCTTATATATATATATAT